CACTTGTTTAAAGTTTCTTTGAATTCTCCCGGTTTCGCTCAGATTGGTTTATCAATTTGAAACATGGTATGCGAAGTACCCGAAAATTTAGGATTTTGGAATAAAATAATTTTTGGTGTTGAATTAATTTAAAATGAGACTAAAATAATTTTATTCAAACACCACTTGATCGCAAAAATTTTTAATGGAGTGAAAATGACTATTTTGAAATTTCTTAAAATTGGATTTATAAAATAAAATTTTAGGTTGTTATACAAGATTTTCTCAAGATGAAGGAATAACATATCAACAACTTTACTACGATCATCTACCAGCACCATATAATACTGAAATAACTACGAAATATAGTCAATATGAACCAAAAGAAAATACTTTGGGAGAAAGAATTAGAGTACTAAGATCATATTTAATGAGAAAATATGAAGAATATAGAATACAACAAAAGATTAAAAAAGATAAGAAAAAAAGATTAAGAGAAATATGTGGATTTACAGAGAAAAAACTAATATTTGGATGTGATAGAGACTATAAAGACAGAAGAAGGAAAAGAAAATATTCTAAAAAATATAGGAAATATAAGAAAGACAGAAACAATGAATCTTACTACAAGTCATATTATAAACCATATTATAAGCGCTATAAAAGAAAAAATTTAGAAAGTATAGAAATACCCCTGAAAATAGAAGAAGATTTAGAAATAAGAGAAAATTTAGAAAAAGAAGAAAGAATATGAGACCATTAGAAGGAGAAAATAAAAAACCTTACGAATGTAGATGTTGAAATTGTAATGAAAAAGACACTATGCAAATAAATGTCTTAAACTAAAACAAAAAGGAGTAAAATATCTGAATACTACTGAATTTATCATGAATTTAAAACAAATACAAGAAGGAAATGATCAATGGTATGAGTATGAAATTTTTTTATATTAGTGAAACAAAATCAGAAGAAGAAAATATTAATGAACTTAGTAATAATGAAAGTAGTGAAGACGAAAATTCAGAATAATGGATTCGTATAAAGGGTGGTTAGTATTAATGCAGATAAAATTCATAAAAAACATTGAAAGAAACTTCATAGAACAAATGATAACTTTAAAAAGAGTAGAAATGTTGTCAGAAGAAATATTAAGAGAAGATTTAAAAGATAAAATTATGGAAATTTATTATTATCATTTAGTATATGAAGCTGAAATATGGTAGCAGTCTATATAGAAACATATGTAGAATATAAACCTAATAAGATGACAATACAAAAAATATTTATAGATAGCGGAGCAAATATGTTTAGCTAAAAACGATGTAATAGCACCATACCGATGGAAAAAATCGAATAGACATAGAATAAAAGTCTCAGGATTTAATGAACATAATAAAGAGTTAGATGTAATAGCTGAAGATGTAAAAATTATATTAGATAAATTAATATTTAAAATACCAATAGTATACCAAGAAAATAATATGAAACATCCTTTATTATTAGGAAATAATTTTTTAGACTTTTTCAAAACACAAGTAACAAATAGTGAGACATTAAGCCTATTAACACCATGTAACAAATGAGTAATATTAAAAAGAATTTTACCAATACATTTTCTAAAAATATATATAACATTAAAATAGACAGAAATAACAACTTAGAACAATTAAAACAGAAATATTTGGAACTATTAAAAATAAATTTTGGAGAAAATCCTATCACCTTATTATGGGATAAAGAAAAGATATATGCTGATATAAAATTAATAAATCTAAATGATATTATAAGAAGTAAACCTATAACATATAGTCCCAACTGATCAAAAATAATTTGAAATACAAATAAAAAATTATTAGAATTAGGAATAATAAAAGAAAATAGGGAAAAGGGTCAAATAGACCCTCAAACTATTGTTCAAAAGTCAATTAGGCCCTCCAACATTTTTAAGAGGCAATTACACCCCTGAACAATGTATTTTGATGCAATGAAGCCCAAATACAGGTAAATGACCTGCTATCCCAGGTCATTACAAATCCGGCGTCTTCCGAAGGTCGCCAGTCACGGAAACCCGGAGAAGGCAACCCAAATCTGGGTTGCCTTCTCCAGTCGAGAAGGCACCCAGATTTGGGTTGCCTTCTCCAGTCGAGAAGGCAACCCAGATCTAGGTGCCTTCTCCGGTCGAGAGGGCCACCAACTGGTTGCCTTCTCGACCGGAGAAGGCAACCCAGATCTGGGTTGCCTCCTCTAGTCGAGAAGGCCACCAGTGTGGTGGCCTTCTCGCCGGAGAAGACACCCAGATTTGGGTTGCCTTCTCCAGTCGAGAAGGCCACCAGTGTGGTGGCCTTCTCGCCAGAGAAGGCACCCAGATTTGGGTTGCCTTCTCCGGCGAGAAGGCCACCACTGTGGTGGCCTTCTCAACCGGAGAAGGCAACCCAGATTTGGGTTGCCTTCTCCGGCGGGTGGTCATCTCCAGGAGGGGTTTCCGGTCGCCGGTCACTTTTTTGCCTGAAAATATGTCGGATTTGTAATGACTTGAGATAGCAGGTCATTTACCTGTATTTGAGCTTCATTGCATCAAAATACATTGTTCAGGGGTGTAATTGCCTCTTAAAAAAGTTGGAGGGCCTAATTGACTTTTGAGCAATAGTTTGAGGGTCTATTTGACCCTTTTTCCTTATTTTTATTATTGTGTACTAGTGTTTAATATGATGTGGGTACATGCATTTTTTGTAATAAAATTTTGGTGGTCTTTAAATTAGTACATTGTGATGCTATTTAAGATGTTATCTAATGAATAAATATTTCACTTGCTATTTTTAATTTTTATATTAAACATTTTTGGCTGTTTTTATTCATATTATTTTTATTGTTATAAAGAATTAAAGTAACGTAACGTAGGGGATGTGTATAATAATAATAATAATAATAATAATAATAATAATAATTATTATTATTATTATTATTATTATTATTATTATTATTATTATTATTATTATTATTATTGTTGTTGTTGTTGTTGTTGTTGTTGTTGTTTCGGTTTGCATGTAATTTAACTATACCATTAAAAAAAAAAAAAAAAAAAAAAAAAAAGGAGATAATGTTAATTGAAGTCCTCCGACTATAGTAACATTACCACATTTAATTCTAACTAGGCTGATGATTTTACTCTTCATTTACATTCTTCCAAAAGGCTGAACCCCAACCCTTACTCTTCATTTACATGATTTTACATTTCATTGTGGTGTGTTTCCCTTACACTGTTGGTGCTTATCGTTAACACTGTTGTTGTATTATGGAACTCCGCCGCACCATCGCATGAGAAGTGTCCGCCGCATTTGAACTTTTTTCCTATTTTATATATATATATATATATATATATATATATATATATATATATATATATATATATATATATATATATATATATATATATATATATATATATATATATATATATATATATATATATATAGGGATGCACTCAGGTGCGAATAAGTGCTCAGGGAAATGCGAACGAATCAGCGCGCGACACGTGTCCAGATCTAAGAACTTAAAAAAACAACGTGGTGGCATTTTCGTAAATAATTGAACATCGAAGTGCAAGTAAAATCACTTATAAGTGCACCTACTTTTACCTATAAGTGCATGTAATTTTGCCTTGTTAGCATTCACTTTCCGCAATCATTCATACATCTGGGTGTGCTTATAACTATATGTGCAACTATTTATAACTATAGGTGCAACTACTTATAACTATAGGTGCACCTACTTTCACCTATAAGTGCATGTAATTTTTCCTTGTTAGCATTCACTTTCCGCAAACATTCATGCACCTGGGTGTGCTTATAACTATTTGTGCAACTATTTATAACTATAGGTGCAACTACTTATAACTATAGGTGCACCCACTTTCACCTATAAGTGCATGTAATTTTGCCTTGTTAACATTCATTGATCTGAGTTCAGCGGGTAGTAATACTCCTGAAAACCACTCGCAAACATTCATACACCTAGGTGCAACTACTTATAACTATGTGTGCAACTACTTAGAACTATAGGTGCAACTACTTAGAACTATAGGTGCAACTAAGTATTGATGCTCAGTGTAAATTTTTACTTGCACCTATAATACATTTTACATGCACTTGTAATACATTTTACTTGCACTTCGATGTTCAATTATTTACGAAAATACCACCGTGTTTTTTTAAAAAATCAGTGTTTCTCATCCATTAGATCTGGACACGTGGACGAACAGAATTCATTCCTATTTCGCGCATGGGCGAAGCATTCGCACCTGAGTGCGATTCTATATATATATATATATATATATATATATATATATATATATATATATATATATAACCAAAAAAAAAATCAAAGAAGGGATTCAAACTTGAAGGGAATGATTGAGGATGATGAGTTGGCAATTAATAGTACATGAACCCTAGCTGTACCATATATTTATATAATGACAAAAATAATTCAAAAATTTCACAAATCATCAAATAAACTTTTTCAAGTTGTCCCTCCACCCACAAAAGCAAGCCTTACATCATTACTGAAATTTTAATCACTAAATATTTTGTTCATGTTACATCACCTTTAGGATATGCTGCGCTCTCTGCGTGTTTGTTTATACAGAGAGAAATTTTTATATATCTTCACTCACTTATGATATCTTAGTTTTAAATGGAAAAATAAAATAAAATAATTTAGGACAACCTCAGTTAAGTGGATGTATATTGTTAGCTTGATAATCACCATGTCCCAAGTAAGTCTTTTTTAACAACATAAATTGATTTACATTCTTGTGGTCCTTTGTTAGAATTATAAGGCACGATTTACTCAGTAAACACACTCACTTGTGGTTGTGACTCAACAACAAGAATAATAACACATTTTAAAAAAGATTTTATTAAAAATTTCACATTTTAATTAAATCCTCCAATATCAAGCCTAACGTCCCTCGACACTTGCCCTTTAAATGTGTCAATTCAACGCCGCCCATGATTTCAGTCAACACATCATTAGTGGACAGCTAAACATATGCAGACCTTATAAAAGATTCAAAATTGAAAGAGAAAGAACTAGAAATCAAAATCTTTTTTTTTTTTTTTTCAGGTTTGATCATTGGGGTTTGGCAGATTAAGAGATGTCAACATTAGGATTTGGAGGGACAACACAGAAGTGTAAGGCATGTGAGAAAACTGTGTACTGTGTGGATCAGCTCAGAGTTGACAGTAAGGTCTACCACAAATCATGTTTCAGATGCCAACACTGCAAGGGCACTCTTAAGGTTCTTTAATTCTTCAGATTATCATTTTTTTGTTTTTTGGATTTTGATCATTGTTTTAGTATCAGTTGTGTGTCTTGAATTCTTGATTTGTTGATTAGTAGAATGCTTAGGAACATATGTATATATATATCTAATGATATGTATCATTTAAGGAAAATGACCTTATAATTCTGTGATCTTAATTTGTATTTTATTACTGGTTTGGTTTAAACACTGATGATCTGAAAGACTGAAATTCTGGAATATCAATTTTTTTTTTTCTGCTTTAGTTTAGTTGCAGGCTTAGGAAGGTGTCACTGTGTCTTATAATTCTGTAATCTTAATGGTTTGTGTCATTTAAGGAATAGTGTCTTGTAAGTTTTTTGCAACCTTAAAAACTGTTCCTGTTTGATGTGGGTTTGGTTGATCTACATATCTGGAGCATCAGTTTTTCTGCTAATGAAGGGAATTCAGAATGATGTTTATTACTCAAGGTTGAGTCTTGGGAACTTTTTTTTTTTTCCTCATTTTGAATGATGAATACATGTGCCTGAGCCATTTGAAGTTAAAGGGTTGTGGAAACATTGTATATTTTAGTTATTCCCCCTTAAATTTGCTTAAATTTGATATTAGCTAGATATCGATTACATCCTTAAGAAACATTCTTGCTTTGTCTGTTTGGTGGACATATTCTTTGAGACTTGATCTTTCTGTTAGGAGGTTAAGTAAACTAGAAACGAAGAAATGGAAGTATTGGAGAGCTTATGATGATAGAGTTTACGCCTTGTTAATTCAACCACTTTTTGCGTTACTGGATGAGTTGTACACCTTTGGCACTCGGTCTCACAGCTTGGCTTTTCTCTGTTTCTTTACCGCCTTTCCCGACTGCCTTCAAGCCTTCAATTACCATACGCTTTTCTTGTTATTGTGATGTTTTCCTCTTTATCTTTCTTGCGGTCTTTGTTGTTTGTTACATGTGTTTCATTTGACTACTACAAGCATAACGATATCGAGTAAAAGTTTGCATTGATTCATGTGGCTGTCTAATATTGCAGCTAAGCAACTATAGCTCCTTTGAAGGAGTCTTGTATTGCCAACCTCACTTTGATCAACTCTTCAAAATGACCGGTAGCCTGGAAAAGAGTTTTGAAGGTGAAAACAATTATAGCGTTAGAATTTCCATATTATAGGTTGCTGTCATTCTAACTCGAAGCTTATTCGATCGCCCTTTGGTACCTTTTCAGGTGCTCCAAAAATGGCAAGGGAAAGATCAACTGATCAGGTATTCCATGATGTCTGGTTTTTGTGATAAATAATGATGTTTTTTATGTCTTTAGTCAATATTTTTCTTGTTATTCCACACACGGACTGTTGCTTATTTTGAGTTAGAAACTGGTCAGACATACACAAGCAGCAAAGTTTCAAGACTGTTTTCTGGGACTCAAGAGAAATGTGTTGCTTGCAACAAAACTGTTTACCCCCTCGAAAAGGTAAATCGGTCCATGCTTTATTTTCTGCATACTTTCAATTCCTTTGTATACTGCATTAGTACCACATCCTGCAGGATAAGGCACCCCGCCTAGTGACCCTAGCCGGCAAAGGACCACAAGGAGGTAAACCAGCCTAGGTTGCCCATAGCTGACCGGTTGAACTTGTAATCTTGTATGTAGTTACCAAGTCAACAACCTAACCAACTTAGCTGAGGTTACCCACTTACCATACATTCTTATAATAGCTAAGAACCAGAAGGAGGACCTAGGTTGCCCATAGCTGACCGGCCAAACCAAGAACGACCAAACCAAGAAGGCCAATAGGCTGCCCCTCACTGGGAGTTGACCTTGTAATCTTGTGGTTACCAAGTCAACAGCCTAACCAACTTGGCTAAGGTTACCCACTTACTCCCATACTTCTACATTCTTATAATAGTTAAGAACTAAAAGGAGGTAAACCAGCCTAGGTTGCCCATAACTGACCAGTCAAACCAAGAAGGCCAATAGACCGCCCCCATTGGGATTGAACTTGTAATCTTGTGGTTACCAAGTCAAGAGCCTAACAGACTTGGCTGAGGTTACCCACTTACCCCCATACTTCTACATTCTTATAATAGTTGCTGGTGGGCAAGAAACCTCCAAAATCAATGTTAATTTTTATGATTTTGTGCAAATGTTTGTTCGTCATAAAACCGATGTCTAAACATGTAAACATTGGATGTTAATTTTGAAGGTGGCAGTTGATTGCACATCATACCACAGGGCTTGCTTCAAGTGCAGCCATGGCGGGTGCGTGATCAGTCCTTCGAATTACGTTGCGCATGAACAGAGACTATACTGCAAGCACCATCACGCACAGCTTGTCAAGCAAAAGGGCAACTTCAGCCAACTCGGTTCGATCGAGAAAGTTAAAGTGGTGGTGACAGATCAGAACAGCAATGGCACAGCCAAATCAGATGAGATCTTATGATTCTACTTCAATGGAGGTTCCTTTTTGCTGCTAAAGTTTGGTATTTGTTGTGTATTCTCATCAAACCACAGAGGCAATATTTATGCTCTTTTGCTTAGTCCAAAACATGGTCATTTCATTTTTATGATGACAGTCTGCCATACAACATAAAGTGGTGTCCTAGGTTGATGATGGGGATTGCCCAGAGACATTAATGATTGCACATTTTGTAATGTAAAACCAAATTTGTTTGATGATGTTTGTTGCTATTTTGCATGTTCCAAGAGGGGCTGTGACTTATCATGAATAGTTTATTCATTTTAACTTCTTTTTTGGGTTGTAACTCAGAATTTTCACCGTCAAACACAATGACTAATCTCCTTGTTGAATTGAAGACACCTCTATTTGGTAATCTCCTTGCTGAATTAAAGACACCTCTATTTGATAAGACAACCGACCTGAAGATTTAAAATTGCTCCATATCAAAGCCAAATCAAACCCTTTGACTAATCCCATTACTAAATTGAAGACACCAATATTAGGTGGGACAGCCAGCATGAAAATTTAAAACTATTTCATACCCAAAACCAAGAATTGAACCCTTTGACTAGCCTCCTTACTTAATTGAAGACACTTCTATTGGGTGAACAGCCAGCCTGAAGACTGCTCCATAAGACTGCTCCATACCCAATATTCAAAATCAAAAATCGAACTCTTAACATTTGATTAACTTCTATATGAACAATTTTTTTGACTAAAAAGAATAATTTTGTCATTTTAGCTTCTGACTATCATTAATAGATTCATCATTTTAGCTTCTAACTATCATGAATAATTGCCCTGAACTCTAACAATTGAAGGACCAAAATTGCGCTAACCGTTGTTTATAACCATACTTAAAGGCTATGTGGTGGATATGTTAGCCTTTCAGAGGCCATTGGATTATTGTCTCCATTTTTCAGGGGCATTTAACAGTGCTAGAGTTGCAGAGAAATGTTGTTCATAATAACCAACAAATTTACACTAAAAAGAAAAACCCTAATCAACAAATGTTCTAATTAAGCATCCTCCAAGCTGTCAGACTATTTATAGTAACTTTTTTCACATCCAAAAGGGATACATAAGCAAAGGAAAACTGTGTTGCAGGAGGCCCCAAGTATGGCTTTTCGAAGCCCGACGAGGCGACGAGATGATTCGATGAGAAAACGAGGTCTTACTTGGGTGTAGCGAGATTCAGACGGACGGGAAGTATTTGTTGAGGTTGAAAGGGAGGGAGTAGAATTCTTCGCTTCTTGTGTCGGTCTTGAAAGACCGGAACTTGTCCCACCAATGCTTGCCTCGGTCTTTCCTGACCTGGTTTTCCTTCTTGTGCATCGTGGTGTCTAAGAAATACGCCACAATCCCCGCAACAAAAGCTTTCGATGAAAACGGAACATTCACAATGTCGTTGAACTGATCAAGAAACACAACGCAAAACATTCGTTAGCAGCTATAGCTCAGATCGAAGGCGCAACTTTATTTCCTTACAGACCGCCACATTTTCGAAAAGCAGGGTGCTGGACTTGACCCTTCACCGGCCTCTGCCCAACAATTCCCCCCGACTTGGCTTTTTACCGGCCTCCGTCTAACAAATACCAACCAAATTAATCAACAAAATGACTAAAAACAGTTGAATTGGAACTTACCCATCTCCCGCCAGTGTGAACAGGTCCATAACTATTGATGGCAATGTACTCGTTGAAGTACTGAGGGATAGACAATCCGAGAAAGATTGAAAACCCGAGTATGAACTTGTTCCGGAAACTATTCAGGTTGCAGAATTGAAGCAAACTCACGCCTCCAGCACCTGAGCACACGTAATAATCGTAAGGATTCAAACACATTTTACTAGTAATTGCAAATATAATAGCGGTAAACCGCTTCCCATTCATCTTGCCACGTCTCTACATACCTACATATCCAAAGAACAGGCAATATAAAGCAGCCACAATGGGTGCTGGAATCGAAGCAAAGACTGCTCCGAATTTTCCTGATGATAAGAACTCAGTCAGGCTACAAACATGAAGAGAGTTCGGTGAATTGCAGAAAAAAGTTGCGGTAATGCTTATAATATACCAAGAATAGAGAAGAAAATCATGAATCCCGCGGATATCTGAACAACTCTTCGACTCCCCACTCGAGTAAGCGCTAGAAGTCCAGCATTCTCACTGCATGCATACCCAAGCAAATACTATACATCATTGAGAAAGTCGTCCTCGGCTCTTGCAACGATGCGTTATGCACGACAGAAGGTTTTAAAAGGCGTTAACTTACATAGATACAGAAGATCCGGTTCCAGTTCCAAACAACCCCGACAATAATATGCCAATTCCCTGGAATATGACCACAATTCCAAAACTTAGTAACCAAAAAAACAATCACATCGCAAGACAGGGCAAACATAGTGTAAAGGTGTAACCGGGTTATAATCCTATCCCGTAACGGGGATGGGACTATCTGCAATTCAATGGGAAATCACGCTTTACCTGCCAACCTACACCACGGCTGAGAATGGACGGTGGCATGTGAGTGGCACTCGCAAATCTCGCAATAGCAATAAAACCACCGGTCGACTGCAAAGGCAAGGAGGCCAAATTGGAGTTTAGTACGAGACCTGACAAGATAGAAACGGAAGAAGTGCATCCACACGAACAACAAAGTGGCAGAAATGTGGGACTCGGGAAAGAAAAGAAGCATAGAAATCATACCCAAAAATTTTCATCAAGAAACAAATTTTTATCAGACGAACATAAACAAAAAAACGAGAATAAAAAAATCGAAGATGGTTAGGATAGAAAGAACTGCAGGCACGGGAGACCAGTGCATTTTTCACTAAAACTTATTTCCTTCAAGTTCTGACACGAAAACAAACCTCTACAAGTGTTACAAATGTAGCCATCATCATAGCAAAAGCTTCACCGGCATCAAACGAAGGCGCTCCCCATTGAAAGGGGTACGGAACTCTAATCCTGTGAATATAAGCCACAGGAAAGTATTAGGCGAGAATCTTGAAGACTTCAAATTACACATTATCATGTTTTGTCAGAACCTTTGAGTTGAAATATAACGAATACTATGTTTAAGGAACAGGAACAACTGAATACTAGGTTTGTAAGCACAAATGGAAACATTGTTGTGTACAACCTAATACTTAGTACTTACCATGGGGCACCAGATATAAGTCCAGAACGGTCAGTTCGGCAGCTTGCTTGGGTCTTTGGTGGCTTCCCGTTATAGGCCCCACCAACAGTAAGTATATGGGCATAAATCCAAACAATTGCTACCGTGAATATAACAGCGAAACGATCAAAAATATTCTTCCCGGGCTTTATCAGATGAACCAAATACTGCAGTGCAAAAATTAATTTCGGTGGGATTAATATCAAGTACATGAAATGGAGTTGCTTTTCCAAGACTAAAGCACGTGATTTCAACTAATAATACCTGGGAGAAAAGGACCAAAATTACAAGCGCTGGCAACCCTATTTCGACACATTTAGCAACCTAAACAACAAAAATTAACAATTAAATGACTTGTAGTTTTGTAACTCAAGAAACTACAAAGCTGGCTCAAAATAATGTCGATATGTAATATACATATATACTTACACCAGGGAAACCAAACTCGTAGAGCCCAAAACCAGCAAGTGCAACCAAAGGAACTGCTGAAATCGGACTCAAAAACCTAGTAACTCCCCAAAAAGAAAGCGGAAACGATGTGAACAAACGTGAGTTTTTTTCATATCAAACGTTCTCATGCAATGTCAAAATAGCTGGAGGCCAGAACACGAGAAATTAGTTTATTCAATAATATATAGAAATCCATCTCAGAATCATAACCACACTGTTATCGATGTGTAGAACAGACATATTATGACAAATCGAGTTAGGGAATTGACTACAAAAGCTGAAAGATAAAAGCATATACCTCGTAATATTGCGCCAAAGACCACTAAAGCCCAGGACTATCTGAAGAGTTGAAGCAACTATAAGTGCACCTTGGGTGGCCCGCATTATCTTTTTGAATTTCTGATGAGAATAAATGACAAGAAAGAATCAGGGCGCATATTAATAGGCCATACGATAAATGTCATACAAGCAGAAGTGTTAAGAAAACAGACCGATATGGGGTCTGGGTCATCCCATCGACCAGAGAGTATAATCGAAATCGTTGGTGCAACGAAGGTGTACGACGCTCCAATCACAGCTGGAAGTCTGGTCCCGAAGAACGTCTGTAACAAGGTGTTCAACCCAGCAACGAATAGCAGAGTCTGAATAACTTTGGCTTTCTCCTCCTGCAAGAATGGCAGGCACCATTTCATTTAATTCTGCAGTTACGCTTAGCCAAGTGAATATAGTTTTTAAGTAACAAAACAGCTAAATTATGTTCCCGGGCCTCACATTTCCGCCTCCCATCTGGGGAACGAGAACGGTGGGAATCATAACCGTTGTCCCAAGCATCACAAGATAGTGTTGAAATCCAAGAAGAATGGCCTCGGCTGCATTATCAAAACAACCCAATATTAAACTGAATCCACTATATATGATGAAACCCATCACAAAGTTCAGAGGGATCAAACTCAAAGATGTGACCCAAAACCCATTCTCATAATCTTGTGTATTCTCAACAGCTCTAACAAGATTACAAGAAATTACCCAAAACCCATTCTCATAAGTGACCTTATGAAGCAAGAATCAGTAACAGAGGGTAAAAATGATCCCCATAGTCCAAAAAACCTTAAATTCTCCAAAAATAATAAAAAACCTAAGGAGAAAGCAAAAAATTCTGAATAAAAATAAGCATATGATACACCAACTCCATAAAAGGGAAGAGCAGGACAGAAGAAAAAACAAAAAAAAAAAATGGTACATATTTTCAGTTGGTAAAATAAGTAAATAACACAACAATTTCTAGCAAACCAAACTTGTCAGAACAACAATTCAACCCCCAAGAATCCAGCAGGCAACATGTACAGAAATCCTCTGTGATTCCTCATTTTCTCAGAAAAACAATTACCTTGAGGAAACCAAGATCATCAGTTTACACGAGCCATTTAACAGTCAAAACATAATAAAGGAAAGAAGAATGTCAGGAACTGAAGGATTTTACACACAAACATGTATAACCATCAGAGTGAAAACATCTTAGCTCAGTGAGCTAAACACTAGACAAAACCCTAAAACAGGAAAAATCAATACTGATAGGAAGCTAAGAAGACAGAAAAATGGC